AAAAAAAAAAAAAAAAAAAGGAGATAAATTGTTCATTATAATCATCATCTTTTTTAAAAGTGTGATGTTTACTAGTATTTCATTTCCTTTCATTTATTTTAGGGGGTTGTATTCAATTTCATTTTTAGAGACTTTTTTAAACTTTTAGAATTTTGGTGTATTTAATTAGAACTTTTAAAGACTTTTGAAAAGTTTACATGTATTCAATTGAGTCTTTTAATGACTTTTAATAAGTCTCCAAAAGTCTCAAGGTATTCAATTAAAACATTCTGAGGGTCTTTATAAGTCACCCGATATTCAAAACATAAAGACTTTGTGAGACTTTTTAAATTTTGAGACTTTTAGAGACTTTTGTAACGAAATTACGTAGGAAAAGTCTCAACAAAAATCTCATCAATATTGGTGAGATTTTGCTGGACTTATGTGACTCTTTTCACGCTCTCTTTCGTTTTTTTTTTTCTTTCTAACACGACTTTGTATTTCATATCATTTTCATGCTCTATTATTTACTTATTTATTTTGATACTTTTTGTAATTTTTATTTTTATTACGTAATGTGATCTTTTTATTTTATATATTCTTTTTATTTTATATTTTCATGCTTGTTTTATATATTCTCTCATTTGCTATCTTGTGAATTTGACTTTTCAAATGTTAATGCTTCCATAGTTGCACTTGCAAATAATTTATTTGTTCTTTCTTTCTATTTGTAAATGTTTATTTCAAAATATTAAAAAAATTATTTTATTTTCTAATAGTTTATTTGTTAATATTGAAATGTTTTGAATATTATTGATAATTTTTTAAGATACAATTACTGTTTTTCGGCAATGTTTGTATCTTGTGAAAATATATCCTAATAATATTTTTCTAATATAACAATATTATGCAAAAAAATATAAAGAATAAAACAATCAATTATTAGATAAATATATCTTAATTTGGGTTGATTATAAGTATCGTTATAGCAGAGATATCTAGCACATATTTGAGCTTGTACTCTTTTAACAAACAAATATACGGCCCTGCTCGATTCGTCTCGTTGAAGCTGATCGATTTACTCTTTTAATAAATTTCAAATCCCAAACAATTTGTTTGTGAATAACTCATTTCGCATAAAAATGAGTTTATTCATAAATTTTTAGAGGATTAATATATACAACATCTTTTTTTCATTTATTCTTGTTTATATCTATATATATATATATAATTGTTGGCATATAGCATTTAATAAAACCTAATTAATAAAACCTCTATTCATTTTCCCGCTCATTTTTTTAATTAATGTAGAATTGTTACATTTTACATTAATGAAGTGTAATAATAATTTTAATGTAATTTATCTACTACTAACACTAAATGATTATAACTTTACATTAAATAGTATGTGGAAGTTATATAATTATAAAAAATTGTATTGCAATTTTTTTCTTTAAAATACTTTTCCTAAAATGAAATATTTATGTTCTTTTTAAGCAATTTTTATCTAATATTAGTAATTGGCATGAGTGTCATAATTAAGCACCTTAAAATCACATACACAGATGCTATAACAATGATAAAAATAATTGTAATACTTTTTTAACTAATTAATTGTATGGTTCCTCTAAATTACTAAATTATATTAGCCATTAAAATTTATGGCATCAATATAAAGATTCATACGTAAGTTAAATAAATTATATTTACATTACACATTTGCATGTAGTCCAAAATTTAAAATGTAATAAATCAATTATCTAATATAAAATTTTTATATATTGTATACATATATATACATAATTTTTTTTTTTGTGTGCATGTGCACAGGATGAATACTAGTTACTTATTATGTTACGTTTATTAATACTTTATTCAAACATAATATTATAACTGCAAGTATATAAAAGTTTCCATAAGTTTTAAAAAGTCCATTATGAAAGTCTTGAAAAGTCACTAATGAAAATTCTCTAAAAGTCTCAAAAAATCCACCAAAGTCATGAAAGTTCTACAAAGTTCACAAAAGTCATCAAATTTAAAAAATTTTAAAAAATCCTTAAAAATCTTTATTGAATACACCCTCCTTACTTTGTATGCCTATCATTTCAAAGAAGCATTTTTTTATTATTATTATTATTATTCTATAAGTATATGATAATTATGAAACACATTTAATGAATTTAATATTACAAGCCTAGCTTGTAATAATCGGTCATCGGTGAAATAATCGGGCCAGGCCCACCACACTCACGTGCCTCCGCCACGTCACCACCTCCGACCTCGATATCCCCTAACCATTTTCAAAATGCGACCAATCACAACCGTCAGATCGCACCGTTTCCCAAACCCGTCCCATTAATCTCGGCCGTCGGTTCCCCCGACCCGCCCGGCATATTTTACCCCCTTCTTCTTGTCCTAACGCACGAAGTAAAAGTGTAAAACACACGCACACGCTTTACTGCCGTGGATATAAAACAGCACATTCTAGTGTGTGTGTGCGTGTGTGTGTGAGAGAGAGAGAGAGTGTGTGTGTGTATGTGTGTGTGGGACAATGTTCTGACAAGAAGTTCTTCCATTTTTGAGAGATGAGTCCGTTTGATTTTCAAATTTGCTCTCTCTGTAGCTTTGTGGGTCATTTTGTCTGTTTGCGTTAAAAGGGTACCTTTTTTTCTTACCTTTTTAAATAGCTGTTCTCGAGTTAGAAGTCATTTTAATGGATTTTGAGATACCCTTTTGATTTCTAATGTAAAGATACAATTTTTACTCGACGGTTTGAACACCTGTGTTGTTTCACTCTGCTTGTTCAGTGAGTTGTTGTTCTCTATTCTTAACTCAAAGGTTAGTTATTAGTGTTCTGTTTTATTTATTTATTTATTTTTTTCTGGGTTTGCCCCCATTTTCGAAAAAAATTGTATCTTGGTGTAGAACTTTTGAAAACAAAGAAGTTGCTGTTAGAATTTATGAGTGCTTCTTTTTGTCTGCAGATGTTGTAAGAATTGTGGTGTTTGTCTGCAGTTCTCTAAGAATTGTGGTGTTTGGCCAATGGGGGTCTTATTGCACAGTGTGTCCTAATTGAACTTCTGAAAACAAAATTCGATCTTTTTTAGGGGAAGGAAATGAGTTCTTGTTAGAAATTGTGAGTTTTTGTCTGCAGATCTTTCTTGTAAGAATTTGTGGTGTCTAATTTAATTTTGTCCAATTCTTGAAAAAAGCTTTCCTTTTTCTTTTGCTTCACTCTGATCTGGTTAATGGGGTCTTATTAGACCCTGATTAGGTTGCTTTCTAGTGGTAAATTTAAAAGAGAGAGAGAGAGAGAGAGAGAGAGAGAGAGAGAGAGAGAGAGAGAGAGAGAGAGAGAGAATCTCATCTTTAGACAAATATGTTTCTTGAAAAAGGTTGAACCTTTACATCATCTTTACAAGGAAAGAAATTACCTTTCTTCTTGTGTTTTATAACTTTAATCATAATTTTTTTTAAATGAGACCACAAAATTTGGTAAGAGTAGTTTTAATTAGAGATCAAAGTATATATGAATCATATAATCATATTCTGAGTATTGATGTTTGTTTACAGGAAAAAGGTATAAAGAAGCTCTTGCTTGGTTGCTGAAAAAGAAATTTAGGGGTGCCTTCAATGTTGAGCAAAGGACAACTGCAATTTGAGGTAGAAATTTTTTGGAATTTAATCATTTGCCCCATTTATTGCAACAATTTCTTCACAATTGTGTATTCATCCAAAGGGAAAAAATTCAAATTTAAATATACTCCATAAAAATATATGAGAAGGAGATGTAGACTAATATATATCTTCTCTTCAAAGGGAAGTCTTTCCTCATCAAAAAATGTTTTGTGTCCACATATACATCATGAAAAAGATTAAAAGACTTTTATTTATTTTATAGGAGATGTTGCGATCCAGTTACAGAACTATTCTGTCGTGGTATGTAATCGTTAGATCAACTACATTACAAATTATACGTAACCATTACGGGACAGTAATATTTTCATTATTTTATTTTGTATATTTTTTTTTTTAAATTGTAATTTGTGGGCCTATGCATACAAAATATTGACCTCACATTTGTATTCCCTCTAGAAAATCTTGTAGAGAAAAATGGAGTAATTATCTTGCAACTTACAAGTTGAAAAGTAAAGCTACCTTCTTCTTCTTCTTCTTCTACCCTTTTGCTTATGTACCATATTACCCCTGAAAATAGACAAAATTGCCTCTCTGTTGTGTTGGGTTTTGTTGACCAAACCTCATTGCTTAGGGGCAAAATTGTCACACCATGTAATTTGTACATCAGCTTTAATTGGACGGTAGTGACGGCTGTTGGAAAGTTCTTTCTTTCACTTTCATCTCCTGTCGTTGTACAGTCTCATAATTGTATTTTTACATGATATTTAATTAATTATTTATATATATTAATAATGTTTTCATACACATTTCCATGTACAGAAGTGTAAATTAGACAACTATACATTTTTTAATAAATTTTGGCATATGTCATACTACTATATAAATAAAAATATAACTTTGATAACATAGATATATATTTTTATTAAACAAAAAATAACAAATTGACTGGTTTTATTGTACCAGATTTTCCTTGCTTTTTTTAATATAAGAAGCTTGATTTATTTATTTATTTGAGTGGACTCGTGGGGCTCTATTTAGGTACTTAATAAGTTATTACCTGTCGGCTCTCAGTTTCAATAAAACGAGCATTTTTTTGTGATCATTCAAGATTCTCGAACCCCCTAATCTCAGACCCACTTTTATATGCATTTATTTATTTATTATTGCAGATTTTTCTTTTTTATTCTTTCTTAAATGACTAATGCCGTATTATAATCTTTTGATTATTGCAACTACTCCAAAACAAAAAGCTTTTTTTTTTTTTTTTTTTTTTTTTTTTTTTTTTTTTATTTTTATAATTTCTATGACAATAATCTTCACCTTTTTCAACATTTTCCTCTTCTGAAGGTTTGGTTTGTCTCTCCCAAGAACTCATCAATCCTTCTCTCCTCTCTGCAAAAGATCACAAATTTCTTCAGTTTTTGCATCTAAAGTTGTTACCTTTTTGTCAAAGATCAAATCTTTATCATCTGGGCTCAACTCTAAACCTCATTCAAGTTCAAATTTCTCTGGTTTTCAGTCTTTCCCAGCTGCTTGGTGAAAAAAATTACCATCTTTTTCTGATAAACAAGAGAACAAAAAAATCATGGTTGAAGACGATGATGGACAGAATTCACAGACCCACGACGGCCTATCCACCGACGAATGGCTATCTTGCGCACAAGCCCTCGTCCCAAAAGCACTCCAAAAAGCCATAGAGGTAAAGAATTTCCCCAGCAGATGGAAAATGATCATCTCGAAATTGGACCAAATCCCTTCACGATTATCTGATCTGTCCAGCCACCCTTTCTTCTCCAAGAATGCTCTCTGTAAGGAGCAGTTGCAATCTGTCTCGAAAACATTAAACGAAGCAATCGAGCTTGCCGACCTCTGCCTGAGCGAGAAATTCGAAGGGAAGCTGCGAATGCAGAGTGACCTCGATTCCCTCACGGGCCGTCTCGACCTCAACTTACGAGACTGCGGGCTTCTGATCAAAACCGGCGTCCTTTCCTCAACCGGGCCCACCGGCCCAACCGAGCCCGAATCCGCGGCCCACGGCCCCAACAACATTCGTGAACTCCTCGCCCGCCTCCAAATCGGTCACCTCGAATCCAAACACCGAGCCCTCGACGCCCTCGTCGAGGCCATGAAAGATGACGAAAAAGACGTCCTGGCAGCAATCGGGCGGGCCCACATCTCAGCCCTCGTCCAGTTGCTTTCCGCCACATCGTCGCCGCGTATGAGAGAGAAAGCAGCCGCCGTCACGTGCCAGCTGGCGGAGTCGGGCGGTGTTCTCGTCGAGGGCTTGCTCGTCTCGGAAGGCGCCCTTCCGCCGTTAATCCGACTAATTGAGTCAGGTGGGCCCGTCTGTCGAGAACGAGCCATCGTCGCATTGCAGAGGCTTTCCTCATCGTCGCCCGATGCGGCCCGAGCGATCGTGGGCCACGGTGGGGCCCGGCCGCTGATCGAGCTCTGCCGAGTTGGGGACTCGGTTTCCCAATCGGCCGCGGCGTGCGCGTTGAAAAACGTGTCGGCCGCCGTGCCGGAGGCCCGGCGGACCCTAGCCGAGTCAGGCCTCGTTCGGGTCATGATCGATCTTTTGAACCGCGGGATTTTGCTCGGGTCGAGAGAGTACGCCGCCGAGTGCCTTCAGAATCTCACGTCGGGTAACGACGAGCTCAGACGAGCTGTGATTTCCGAAGGTGGGGTCCGCAGCTTGCTGTCTTATTTAGATGGGCCGTTGCCGCAAGAACCGGCAGTCGGGGCCTTGAGGAATTTGATCGGGTTATTACCGCACGAGGTTTTGGGGTCGGGTGGGGTTATCCCGAGGCTGGCCCACGTGCTCAGTTCGGGCTCTCCGGGAGCCCGACAGGCCGCGGCTTGGGCTATCGTGCGAATTTGCAGCAGCTCGGTTGAGATGAAGAAGTTAGTGGGTGAGTCGGGATGCATTCCGAATCTGGTCCGAATGCTCGAGGTGAAGAGTAATGGGGCCCGAGAAGTCGGGGCCCACGCGATTTCGATCCTGATGACAGTATCGTGTAATTGTCGGGAGGTGAAGAAGGAAGAGAAAAGCGTGCCGAGCCTTGTGGCTCTGCTTGACCCGAGCCAGCAGAACACATCTAAAAAATACGCGGTGTCTTGCCTCGGAATGTTGTGCTCGAGCAAGAAGTGTCGGAAGTTGATGGTCTCGTACGGGGCGATCGGGTACCTGAAGAAGTTGACCGAGATGGATGTGCCGGGGGCGAAGAAGCTGCTCGAGAGGCTCGAGAGGGGGAGGCTCAAGGGTTTTTTCGGCCGGAAGTGAGGAGGGGTAGAAGGGTAATTTCTCACTTGGTTCTTTTGGGTGTGTTCTTGTTGTTGAATGGGGTTAATGACTTGTTATTATGTGTATGTGTGTGTGTTGTGTTGGTTTTTTGGGTTTCATTGTCTGAATGAAACAGAGTAGTTGGTAGTAAGTACTGAGTAGTATATGTATGTATGTACTCTTGATTCTGTTTTTGTTTGCTCTAATCACTAGCAAATATCTGTGTGTGTATAAAGGAATAATCCTCTTATTCAGCTAGTGAAAACTGCATGAATTTGTACTATACAACCTATTTTGTGCACCTTTAGCTTTTTTTAGACAAAGGGGCTGTCTGTAATTTTGAAAGTTAACTGGTGGTTTTACATAAATAGGCCAAACTTCATGAACACATATATAAGGTTGATTGCTTTATTAGGAGCAATCAAATTCTTGAGTCATTCACAGCTGGAAAGTAGTGACCTAATAATTTTGGTTTCTTATGGTTTGTTTTGCCCAAATTGGAAATGCATTTGCCATGTTAATTGGACTCTTGGTTTGTTAAATGGAATCATCACTGGTTTGGCCTACATGTATATTATATGTTGGTCATATCAAATTTGTCTTTTTACATGACACTCATAAATAGTAGAAAATGAATGTTGATTATTTGAGCATGATTATTCATCACACATGGGTTTGTCCTATGATTCTAATATGGAAACATGAGTTTTACTTTTTACACGAAATTTCGATGAACAATGCACATACCGTAGGCTATCACATACCGGAGACTATCACCGTTGGATCATCACACGAACATATGATCCAACGGTAACAAGTTTTCCTCACACACAGCCTAAAAAGACACAATAAATGGCATCTGTGTATAAAATATGAGTTTCATGTGCATGACAAAATCAAATCTTGAAACAAATTGGGAGTAGTTAGCACCATGAAAATGACCTATGAACCTCTCCCAATTATATAAGGTGGGTGGACCAAAACATTTTTTTCCTAATTAACTGAAACATTGTGCATGCCTTACCCATGAGGTTCAGTTGTCTAAAGTGGGCCTTTTAGGCAATTTTATGAACCCACATTGTCAAACCCATGACACTTTAAAAAAATACTAATGTGGTTCTAATTAATTTGGTTTTAGCCAGTTAATTATATGATTTTTTTTTTATTTTGGATAGGGGATTACAAAATGATGAACATTCATCAGTTCTCCTCCTCCTCCTCCTCTTCATCCTCATCATCAAGAAAATCGAGAAGCCCCCGAGCCATCCCCATGCACAACTCCTCGTTTTCCCGAACAGTATCTTCCTTATTTTTGCTCGAGAAGCTTCTTAATCCAGAGCCAGCCGAGTGAGGATAGTAATCCAACTGAACCTCACCCGACGGGTGCACATCAGTATGGAAAGCCGTATCCAGAGTTTGCCCCATAATTTTCGCATAACCCAAACTGCAACCAATCGAGCAAGAAAAGCAAACGGCCCCATCAACAAAGATAATCGTTTAATCTATATGATGTTTTCGCGCAGTGTTTGTATAGCAAGCACGAATTTGAGTAGAGGCAAATAATAACCAAATAAGTAACAAATTTGGGGAATTTAGCGATACTTTACCGTATGTAGTACAGTCCATCTATGTCTTTCTGGGCCCTCCCGAGCAGCTCGATTAGAAAAACCCCATTAACACAAACAACGGGTTCTGGCAACTTAAAGGTCTGCAGACACGATTCCTGTTCAGAAATGAAGAGATTTTCAAGAATTTATACTAATCATAAAAATGGCACTAAAAAAATTTCACAAAATAGCAATGTGTAAACACTTTAAAAAACCACCTGTCTCATAGGAAACCACGGTGAAGCATATGTCCACACATACTTGTCGAGCGAAGGTCGATTAATCAGAAATGTATCAATATCGGCTTCAGATAACAATTTTGAATGACCCAACCGAAACCTCACTGACCTTGCCGAGTAAACAGGCTTCCCAGTCTCCCAAAATACTAGAAGAAAAAAAAAAAAAA